GGCGTGCCACAGACCGGGGCTGGCAGTGGGAGTGGGCACGGGAGGGCTGTCCTCTCGACCCCAAGGTGGTAGGCCCTCTGGCCGAGGCTGAGTCCTGTGATGCCAGACGCTCACAGGGCCGGCGGGCACTGCCTGCTCTGCCCCTCGCTGGGTTCCCTGTTGCTAAGCAGGCCGGGCCCTGACCCAGCACCTGCAGTCCTTCCAACCCCTTCTGCTGAGCCTCCATCCCCCCAGCCCAGTCCCCACCTCGTCCTCTGCACGTGCCTTGGTCCCCAAGCTTCGCTCTGCGAGGCACCCCTTCCTGCGGCCCAGCACACACGTGCTCATGCTTGTGCGCCCTTCCCGCTTCCTCCCCAGGAAGCCCTCCTCAGCCCAGCCTTCCTGCCCTCCAGCCTCTGGCTTTGAGCTTGAGCCCTCGGGTTTGCTGGTGGGGCAGCTATGGGTGGGGCTCCCGGTCCCCCCACCCTGGACCAAGCTCCCAACGCCAGGGCTCCCACAGCTCGCTGTTGCCCCTTGGCCAAGCTGGTCAGGCCCAACAACAACTGATTCCCTGGGGGGGGGGGCTGGGACTCAACTCGACCCCCAGCTGGTTCACCCCGAGAGGCCACAGGTGAATGCGCTAGGACTCCCTGGGCCCTGGCCTCCCTGCAGAAGGGTTTATGGGCCCCATGGGAACCGCTGCTGCCGTCGGCCATGGGGCTCCCCTAGGTAGGAGGGCAGGCTGATACCCCGATGGCCAAGCTACTGCAACAGGACAGGCCCTCACCGGGGGGTCCGGTGGCTGTGGCTTGGCCTGCATGGGCCTGGGCCGGCTTGCGGGTCTGTGGGCAGGGGCTGGGGTCAGGGGGCCAGGCCCTGACCAGGTGGTCCTCTGGGCCCTCCTAGTGGCTGTGCAGCTGACCTCACCTCAAGATGGCCGTTCAGGGAGTCTGGCCCCCAGCTCTGCCAGTTTCTCAGCTCAGCAAGCAGCCTGGCTCTTGGGTAGACTGGTAGCCTGCCGGGCCCCGAGTGGGGGTGTCCTGCTCTCCCCAGAGGGACCCCTCCCATACTGTCTCAGGCCAGGAAGTCTCAGGCTGCCCCCACCGTCCTGGAGAGGAGAGCAGGTAAGGGGAGCAGCGGGAGCCCCCTGCCAGGGACACCTTCAGGCCAGCTCACCGTGAGGGAGGGCAGCCAGCGCACGACAGCTCGTAAGCACCAACAGCATCTCTATGTAGCTTGGTGGGCAGGTGGGGGCTGTGGCCCTCCTTGTCCACAGCGCACAGAAGGGTTAGCCGGCCAGGAAGGTGGGTCAGAGGTGCCCAGAGGTTAGAAGCCCAGGCTGGGGGCCCCGGGCTTCAGAGGGAGGCGGGTCCAGTGATACCTGGCCGGCCGCTGTGTCCAGTGGGCGCTACAGCGTGCAGAAGGGGCCTGTTTCATGGCGCTTGGGCCTTCGCACGCCCTGGATGACCACTCCGGGCGCCGAGGGGAAGCACGCGTTATAGCAGTCCCCCACGTGGTAAGCGGCGGGGCCGGGGGTGCGGGCTGCAGAGGGAGAAGGCAGGAGCCCAGGAGGC